AGGGGGTCAAGAACAGTGCGTACAAGGATGCATATATACACGCAACTAATATTTTAAGTATTTTTGTGTACCTACTTTTTAGGGCTTGAGACTTGAATTGGAACAAGAAGATAATCTCAGCTGTAGCACCCAATATCACCAGGCTGCCAATTATAGAAAAAGGTCTAACCCAACCTTGCTTCTTCCACCTCAAGGGGACTGTGTGCCACAGGAAATCATTCTCATTGCGTCTTTTCCTCACCTTCCTTTCACTTGTCTATCTGTCCATTAAAATGTTTTATTGTGGTAAAATTCACCTAACATAAATTAGTGCATTCACAGTGTTGTGTGATTATCACTTCTATCTAATGACGAGATGTTTTCATCCACCCAATAGAAAACTGTATACCCACTAAGCAGTGACTCTCCACTTCCCTCTTCCCCCAACCCCTGGCAACTACTAATCTGCTTTCTCTCTCTAGATTTGTATATTTTGGATATTTTATATAAATGGAGTCACACAATATGGGTGGTCTTTTGTGTCTGACTTCTTTCACTTAGCATAATGTTTTCAGGGTTCATCCATGTTGGAGCATTTATCAGCACTTCCTTCCTTTTTATGGCTGAATAATATTCCATTTATATCAGTATATTTGTTTATCCATTCATCAACTGTTAGACATTTGGGTTGTTTCCACCGTCCCCATTAAACTTTGTGAATTAGAAAACTACTCCTTGGTCACCTTGATCAACTCCTTTGTTATATGAGGATCAATATAAAAAATTAAGTTGTTTATAGCTTACATTTTTTTTTCTTCAGTCAATTTTATTGAGCTTTAATTTTACGTACATACCCACTTTAAATGTACAGCTGGTGGGTTCGAACAAATGTAAACACCCATGTAACCACTTCAGTCAAGATATAGAACCCTCCCGCCATCCCACAAAGAGGTCCCCTTGTGCCCCTTGGCAGTGGTCTGCTTTCTTTCACTATGTATTAGTTTTGCCTGTTCTAGAATTTCATATAATGGAAACATACAGAATCACTCTTGTGTCTGGCTTCTTTTGTTCAATACCACGTTTTTGAGATCCAACCATATTGTGTGTTTATCAGTAGTTTATTCCTTTTTATTGCCATGTAGTATTTCATCGTATAACTCTACCACAATTCGTTTATCCATTCACCTGTTAATGGACATTTGACCTGCTTTCTTTAAATTAAATTTAAAACAGTTTTGGATTCCATACAAAGTAATTTAGTATTTTTATAAAGTTAATTATTCAATTGTTTAAAAAAGTTAAGGGGAAAATTGACACTGCTTTACAGCCACTAAAATTTTAATATTTTATTTGAGAAGTGGCTTTCTGTCTTCCATTCTGAACTTTATCATGAAGCTAGACAAGCTACATGTAGACCTTGAGTTGCTCATTTCATTGAAATTGTACAGAGGTTCTTTTCAGAACCTCCCCGTCAAAATTCCATATTCGTATTTCTTTCTTCTCTAAATTGTTAATCAATAGTATTCTTATTCCATGTTATAGTTTAACTATTTTATTTTATTATTGATATAGTGGAAATTTTTTGACTATTTCTCGTTGCTGACAACCAGTATTTTTTCAGGCCACAACAAAAATACTGTATCTTCTCATACAAATCATATAAATAGCACCTCTAAGCATCCTGCTTAAAAAATATTAAAACATAATCAGTGTATAATTTGGTAACTTCTAATGGCTTACAGGGAGCTAGAATTTTACTGGACAAGAAAGCTATGTAACCTCAGGATGCTTGAGTATTTTGTTTTGTTTTGCTATTGAGTAAATTTTGTAAAACGTATTTTGTTATCTGATAATTAAGAATTATTTTGCTGGTGAAGTCAAATCTTTGCCAAGTATTTTATATCTTAGTCCCAGGAGTCAAATATTTGCTTCTGTGCTATTCAATTAGAATATATTTTTGTTAGAGATTATTATACATAAACAATATCATATGTTTGTTTCAGCTTAAATAATTAGTATTAGCAATGGTGTTATAATCCACTATTCAAACCTTAACAAATGACTGGGGTTTGCTTCTGTTAAAATAATTATATGATAGCAACAGGAAATAGATTAGTGGTTGCCAGGGGCGGGGGGAAGAAGGGAACAGGGAGTGACCCTACCAGTGGGTCTTGGGATTCTTTTCGGTGTGATGAAAATGTTCTAAAAGTATATAGTGGTGATGGTTGTACAATTCTGTGAATATACTAAAAACCAATGAATTGTATAGTTTAAAGGGGTAAATTTTATGATACGTAAGTTGTATGTTGATATAGCTGTTGTTTAAAAATTATTATCATTTTCCTTATTATTATTATATGATTGCTTTTAGCATACCGTTCTGCATCCCGCCTGGAAATTGCTATTATGAATAGGATATGTGTGTTCATATTTGCACATAATTTTAAAAACTTACACGGTTATTTTATAGTACGATATTTGTTTTGTAATTTTGAGATAATTGTGATTTCTTTTGAAATGATTGTTTAGGAAAGCCCTCATGACTAGAAACATGATACCTCCACTTATTTACTGAAAGACAGAATTATGCAGATTAAAAAGAAAAACAAAACACTTCATTATTAAATAATTAAAATAATTACACAACGTCAGTTCCAGAAGAGCATATTGTGTTTTGCTCCAGCCTCTAACATACAAAATAATGGACTTTGGAGTTGGGGAGTTGCAGTTGTTTTGTTTTGTATTTATTTCACTGTTTGTATTTCCTTTCCCCCTCATACTAGCTGGATTTCTATGACTCGGTACTTTTTCTCTGATAAGTCTTTTTCTCCTCCATATTTCCGATGCCACCATCCTGTCCCTAATATTCATTACCTTCTAGCTGGTTGGAAAGATGTGACAGTCTCCTTCTGTAGAGATTTACAGCCTCGGAAACCCTATGGGGTCGCTATGAGTCAAAATCGACAGGACAGCAGTGGGTTTGGGTTTGAGTTTTCTAGCTGGTTTATTACAGTCTTCCCCTCCTGGTTGGCCTGACCACCCACTTAAGTCTCTCTACCCACAGCTGCCATATTGATTGACCTGTTAGCACTATTTCATTATCTTATGCAACGGTGTGCAGTGGCCACTTATACAGTAAAGTTTTAATTCCTCTGTCCTTTGAAAAGCAATTTAAGGACCTCCATAGTCTGAGCTCATCTTACCTCTCAAGCTTTATTTCTGTTCTTCTCAGCCAGAATTTCGGCCTAGACAAGTTGATAGTCATATTGTTCCACTATACCATGTGCATTCTCATTTCCATGCCTTTACTAATGCTATTCCCCTTGCCTCTTGAGTCTTTCTCTGAACCTTTTCCATCCTGCTCATCCTTTAAGTCCCACCTCAGGTTCTGTTAAATTTATGAATCCTTTCCCAATTTTTTCTCCCTTTCCTGAACTCTTGTTGCTCTGATTAGCTGAACTGCCCACTTACCAAACTCAAAACCAAACCCTTTGCCATCGAGTCGATTCCGACTCATATCGACCCTATAGGGCAGAGTAGAACTGCCCCATAGGGTTTCCAAGGAGCAGCTGGTGGATTTGAACTGCCGACCTTTTGGTTGGCAGCCGAGCTCTTAACCACAGCACCACCAGGGCTCCACCGTCCACATAGTACTCATTAAGTGGTACTGAGTATAGTTCTTTGTTTTCTGTTTTTAAGAGTTATTTTCCTAACTAAGACAGTTTTTAAGTACTTTTGATGTCAGTACACATCACTAAGGGAACCCTTGCGGCACAAATGGATAAGCAGTAGGCTGTTAACCTAAAGGTTGGTGGTTCTGACTCACCCAGCAGCTCCGAGAGGGAAAGACCTGGCAATCTGCTCCCGTAAAGATTATAGCCTGGAAAACCCTGTGGGGCAGTTCTACTCAGTCACATAGGGTCGCTCTTGAGTTGAAAATTGATTGAGTGGGACCTAACAACAACAAGGTACATCACTATAAACTGTACGTATCAACATACTATTCACTATACGTAATGTATTAATTAGATCACTGTCACTCAGCTGCTCATTGGCAAACTAATTGATTTTGTTTGTGTCAGTAAGCAGGAGTGTGGGTTAAACTCATTTTAAAGGTTTAATATCTTAGAACCGTGTTTGGGGACCCCTTTCAAACTCACAGCAAGGACCTTGTGCTAGCATCCTTTTACTATTAACCACTGACGTGACTTATTTTACTATTTTTTAGGCACCTAGATAGAGAAAATTTCCCAGGTTCTGTACTACTGTCTCTTTAGCACCTGTCTTGATGTCAAAGCTAGCTGAGATTATGGGAAGAACTACTTAAAAGTTTTTTTCTTTTTTTTTTTAGTATAAGAGTGCCTAGAGAAATAAAAAACTTTTATATAGCTCTAGAGGGGCATAAATGGAGCCCTGGTTGTGCAGGGTTAAAGCGATCCACTGCTAACCTAAAGGTCGGCGGTTCAAAACAACCAGCGGCCCTGCAGGAGAAAGATGGCAGTCTACTTCCGTACAGATTGACAGCCTCAGAAGCCCTGTGGGGTCCCTGTGAGTCGCAATCGACTAGACGGCAGTGGGTAGAGGGGCAGGAACGTCCCCAGGTGGTGCAGGACACTTGAGTGCCAACCTAAAGCTTGGTGGTTTGCGCCCACCCAGCAGTACTGCGGAAGGCAAGTCCTGGTGATCTGATTCCTTTGTAAGAAAACCCTGTGGAACAAGAAAACCCTATGGAACAATTCTACTCTGTAACATATGGGGTCACCATGAGTTAGAATCAACTAGACGGCCATTCACAACAACAGAGGGACATTAGAGAATAAAAAGCTCTCTTGTTGAGATGTAAGAAATAGTTACCATCCCAGAAATATGCGGCTATAATTCGTCCCATTTTACATTATCTCTTAATGTTTTCTAGTATTTTTTGTAGTCATTTATAAGTGTTAGCTCTCTGAAGGTTGATCTCTTAAAAGGCTGAATTATTTAAAGTGTGACTTAACATATTTTATGTGTTTTGTGACTAGACATCGCATATTGCATTAAAAAACTTCCACGTAATCCTCACAAAGAAGAAATTATAGGCAATGGAGAACAACAGTATGTTTATCTGAAAGACGGAGATTTGATTGAGACTGAGGGAGCCACTCTAAGGTAAATAAATGTCCTTTAGCTGGGGAATGAGGTATATGTGTACATGTTATTAAAAAAAAAAAGAAGTGGGGGGAGGAAGATTCATGTATATTTGCTCATATATGTGAAGAATATCTCAGGGAGGATACAAGAGAAATCTGATAACATTGGTTACTGTGGGGAAAGAAAATGGGTAGCTTGAGAAACAAAGAAAAAGAAAAACTAATTTTTGCTTTAAGACATTCTAATTAAGGAAATTTAGTATGGGAATCTATCTATCTAAAAAATTTTGGGCCCAATAGACTTGAAAGCAGAGACTCAAACAGAGACTTGTACACCAATGTTCATTGTCACACTGCTCACAAAAACAGCCTAAATGCCCATTAGTAGATGAATGGATAAACAAAATGTGGTACATAATACAGTGGAATACTACTCAGCCAGTAGGAAAAGTGAAGTCTTGATACATGCTACAATATGGATGGAGCTTGAAGACATTACGCTGAGTGAAATAAGTCAATCACAAAAGGACATATATCGTATGACTTCACTTACATAAAAAGACAAGAAAAGGCAAATGTATAAAGACCAAAGTTTATTACTGGTTACCATGGGTGGGAGCAAGGGGGAGGGGTTTAATGGTGATGGAAAAATCACATTGATTATAAGGGTAGGGTTGCATAGCTGATTATTGTAATTGCTGTCAATAAATTGTACACCTGCAAAAAGTTGAATTGGCAAAAGTTGTGTGATATTTTTACAACAACGACAAAAAGAGTAGCTATTAAGGCGCTTATCTACAACCTAAAAAAGTCAGGATTTGGTTCTTTCGTTTGGAGGTTTAGGGTCATAGTTTCATGGGACATCCCAGTTAATTGGCCTAGTGGCATGTTTAGCACTTCTTTTCTCCCTCCTGGTTCCATGCGTAGTGTCATGGATTGAACTATGTCCCCCAGAAATATCTGTCGACTTGGCTAGGTCATGATTCCCAGTATTGTATGATGGTGTAATCTAACGTGATTTCCTTACAGGTTATAAACTCTATCACTATGATGAGGTTATATATGATTTCCTTATGTGTTGTAAACTCTATCACTATGATGAGGTTATACTGATGAGGTCTACAAGACTGGATAGTGTCTTAATCCCACCTCTTTTGAGATATAAAAGAGAGAAGTGAGCAGAGACACATGGGAACCTCATACCACCAAGAAAGCAGTGCCAGGAGCGGAGCGCATCCTTTGGACCCGAGGTACTTGCGTAGAGAAGCTCCCAGACCAAGGGAAGATTGATGACATGGACCTTCTTCCAGAGCTGGTGGAGAAAGCCTTCCCCTGGAGCTGATGCCCTGAATTTGGACTTGTAGCCTACTGGACTGTGAGAGAATCGACTTCCCTTTGTTAAAGCCGTCCAGTCCACGTGTGGCATTTCTGTTGGAGCAGCACTAGATAACAGAGACACATAGTGACTGAGGTCTTAAAAGCTTCCAAGCAGCCATTCAGGAGGCAACGATTGGTCTCTATCTGCCTGGAGCAACAGAGAAAGAAGGAGAGTCAAGAATAGGAGGAGGAGATGGAATGTGTGGCAAATTCCTCCATGAACAGCTGCCTCCTTTGCCATGAGGCTAGAAAAACTGGATGGTATCCGGCTATCATTACTGAACATTTTAATCAAAGATTCTGTAGAAGAATCCTGAGCAAAAGGGAGAAAATGCAGAACAGAATTTCAAATTCTCATGGACCCAGACTTCCTGTAGCCATGAAGGTTGGATGAACCATGAAACTATTGCCCTGAGATAATCTTTAAACCTTAAACCAAAAATATCCCCTGAAGTCTTTTTAAAACCAGACAACAGTTTAGCTTAACTAGTAAAAAAATGTCTGCCTTGAGCATTATGCTCTTTTAAGAGCTATCTGTGTGGGATCAAATTGACAGCAGCAACTTAAAAGATTAGATAGCAACCTTAGGGCGCCATGAATTTGTGTTAATAGGGAGGAACAGCCTAGAAGAGGAGGGTGAAAATGATTGTCCAACTCAAAGAATGTAATCACTGTCACTAAATGGTACATATAGAAAGTGTTGAATTGTATATTTTGCTGTGTATATTCTCAACAACAGTAGCAAAATGAATAAAATCAAAGAAAAAAATTGGGGGAAAACCAACACAAAGAATCAAGGAAAGCAGACATTCTTAAAATATAGTTACTAGTAAATAATCCCTTCTCAAAATATAAATTCTGATTATGTTAAAACTTGAATAGAGCATTTAATTTACTGATAACCAGTTTCCAGTTTCCATTTTTATAAGATAAGTAAAAGCCTTTTGTTTTAAATATTAATATGAAGACTCATTGTTAAGCAAAAATTCTGTGAATCGAAGGTTAAAGTCTGCCAAAATCCCTAAGTAATCTATGTCCAGTTGGTTTTGTGCACTGCCAATTAAGAAAATAATAATAATAATAATACCATAGAGGCAGAGACAATATCTACCAAGAACCCCTGAAGTAAAAAGCAGAAAGCTGGCAAGGTTTTTCAGTAATAATTTATTCCAGATGTAACCTTCAGGAATTTTCTAGGAACGAAGTTTAATTTCTCAAAGAAAAATCAATCTGACAGCTTTTGTTGACAGTCGGGAGTTTTCTAAGAGAGCCGTCCTTGAGAGGTCTGCTCTTGGACCAAAGTGGCAGAACTAGATAAAGTCTCTACCTGAGGAATGGGAAGACCACAGCTGCCATTCTCTGATCTTTAGCAAAGCACTTCTGATATCGTTTCTTTTTCTCCTCTTGCCTGTGTGAAGTGAATTGTAACATAGTTTTATGCAAATTAAAGCATTAGCCATCCAGGTGACTAGAAAATTGAAATTTCTGATCCCCAATCCTATTTCCTTCTGCCTGGAAAATATAAAAGGAAACCATTACTGAATCCTGGGTTACGGAGTGGAGGGTGGGAGGTGTAGGAGAGAAATGATAAAAAGGCGTTGCAAGCACATTGAAGGATAAGATCTTCGGGAAGCTCTGAAAGAGAATGGTTTCTCCAAATGATTTTTTGCAAATTAAAAACAGTGATCGGTGTTCTGCTTGTTATAATGCATTCTATGTGTGATTGTTCATGAGATTATTCATCAGATATGATACACACCCACACACATTTTTTTATGGTTGCTGAAATATACCTCCTAGAATTATTTTTATACAACATTGAATACTTTTATTAATACTTTGCAGCAGGTTAAATGAGACAAAAGAGATGACTTGTATCAGCTCTTTAATCCCTCACCATTGGAGAAACTGTAATGTAGCAATTGTTTGCAGTAAAGTATACAGTTGGAAACCATGAAAGTATAGTAGTTTTTAATGTTAGGCATTGGCCTTTCAAATATAATTGCTCCCATTACACTGATGTCTAATGTTCTTGTACCTTATCTCTGTTATGTTTTTAACAGATTTTTTTTTAATTTATTGTTTCAATCTTTAATATTAAGGATTTGATTGGTTTTTATATTTTTGGCAAAGGAGAAAACCTTCTGAGTTACAGTCATTTCAGTTTTTTAAATATTATTATTCAAAAGTTGAATTTTGTCAAATGTCTTTTCAATGTCTAAGAAGATCTTACTAGTTTTCTTTGTAGCTTCCTTAATATAGTGAATTATCTTCAGAGATTTTATAATACTGAAACACCTTTGCATTCTTGAATTAACTTTATTTGGTCATGATGTTATTTTAAATATGCTTTTAGATTGTTAATATTTTGGTTAAGATTTTTATAATAATATTCAAAAAGTGAAATAGGTAGCCATTTTCTTTACATGCAAACTTTGTCAGGTTTGAGATCCATAACTCTTCCTTCTTCTTCTGTATTCTGGAATAGTTTAAGTAGCAGTGAGATTACCTGACCTTCAAATGTATGGTAGAATTACCCTGTGAAAACACTGAGTCTTTTTTTCCTAATGACAGTTACACATCTCTTTAGAGAAGCTTGACTGTTGCTTATTAGTTAACACTAATAACTTAAAGATTCTTTTTGTATACTTTCTATAGAATCTCTTTTTAGTAGAAGACTAGACTAATGGGTTGTGTATTCTAAGTTACTGCAGTCAGAAGGAACTTAGTTAAAAGAAAAGTTTACTTATTTTCATGGCTTCCAAAATCTGAAAACCAAAGTTGAAAATATATTTAGATATCATTAGCCAGGTTCGTCAAGGTCTCGAGGAAGAGAAAGAGACAAAATTACCTTTGCTGGTATAGGTTTGTTGTACAGAAGTGTACAGGCAAACAACGTAAATAATTAGCTAAAGGTCTAAGCGGGTTGCCTCTGGAGAGAAAGAAATGGAGCAGAGTAGACAGTAACAAATCTTGAAGGACTATTTGATTCCTTGCTACATGTTGATTTTTACATGTTAGGCATTTTAGGTATTGTCTGTTAATTTCCCCACTATGGGAGAATGAGGATTGGATTTTCTTCTTCTCCTGCATATCAGCACGATTCCCATCCCCTAACCTCCCATTGTAATCGGTTTGGTTAGATCATCTTTCAGTGCTTACATTACTATAGCTAGAGACACTGTTTATAGCTGAACATGTTGTAAACTAGGCTTCCTTTCCTTTCCTTTCTCCAGTCTGGATTGGTTCGCCTCCAGGCCCTGTACTGCTCTCATCCCAGAATGCCTTGCATTCTCACCCTGAGATACCTTCTGCCTCTCAACTGTGCTGGATCTCCTATTTCCCTGTACCTCGTATCTATCTTTCTTTATACTCGCTCTTTTTTGGTGGATTCCATCTCCAATAGCTTCCCGAGAAAGGGTGCATACGTGAGACCTTACACGTTTAAAAAATGTCTTTTTTTTTTTTTTCATCTAACTTAAAGCTTGGCTGAGTTTCAATTCTAAGTTAAAAGTTATGCAACATTGCATTACCCTCTAGTTTCCAATATTGCAGTTGAGAAATCTGAAAGCCCTTCTGATTCCTGAACTTTTCTCATCACCTTTTTTCCCCCTCCTTCCATCATGCCTTGAGAGGCTTAGTTAGCATCAGGCCTCCAGGTGGTCTCTCTTGGTCTGGCCAGTTCACATTTCATTAGCCTCAGGCGTAGTCTGGACTGGCTCTCAGGAACCCAGACCAAAAGGCCAGATTGCTTTCTACACCTCACGGTTTAGAAGGGAAAGTTGGTAGAAGTCTCCCAGAAAATATAGCAAAAAGGCAAAAAGATGGAAAATAGGAGAAAAAAAGGTTAGAGGAGTAGTCTAGGGTTTCTAACAAAATAAAACGAGTTTTAATAAATGAAACCAACAACAACCAAAAAAAAGATGAGAGAACATAATCCATGAACAACTTCAAGAAAAATGTCTAGAACTGAAGGACACATGTTCCAGACTGAAAAGGCCAGTCTAGCAACATAAACTCCTACCTACCATGACACATCATTGTGAAATTTCAGAACACAGTGGGCAGGAAACTTTTTGATAACCACTGCTAAAATAAAATAATTACCATTTATTGCGTATGTAGCTTGTGCCAACTACTGTTAAGCCGTTAAAACTTGTCTTCGAATTTCCGAGCAACCCTTTTAAAGAAAAACTAATATTGAGAGAAGTTAATTAGTTTGTCCCACTCCATACATCTAGTTAAGTATATGTAGCTTACAAATTATTAGAAAAAAAAAAGAAGAGCAAAGAAAATGCAGTCCATATAACCAAAGGTGACAGCAAGGAAGTCTAATAACCAGAAAGCTTAAACTTCAGTATGGATATGTTATACCCCATTAGGAAAACAAAGTCTCAGACTGGATCCAAAAAAACACTATTTTTAAGAATACTCACCTCAGTGTTATTAATGGAACAGAACTGAAAACAACTGAAATGTCCAGCAGTAGGAACGTAAATAAATTACAATTCATTTGTACGGTGGAATACTGTGTAATCCTTAAAAATTATGTTTTAGAAAAAAGTTAATGATACGGGGAAATTACAATATATTTAAGTGAAAATTTTAAAAATCAGGTATAAATATCGTAGTCTTGTTTTTAAAATATAAATATACATTAAAATGGAAAAAATTATATCCTTTAAAATAATAAAAGTGCTCTCTGGGTGGTAGAATGATTGGTGATTTTTATCTCCTTTAAGGACTTAACTTTTTGTGTTTTCCAAATGTTCTGCAGTCAGTGCTTAATACTTTCAAAATAAGGGGGAGGGGAGTTAAATTTGCACTTCAGAGGGAGAAATTTGGTTTAGTTAAAGGGGAGAACTTTCTGATGATAATTTTCAGTGATTCACAACAAAAATAAGGAGTTTCTTAGCTCAATGGCATCATTTATTTGTATCTTGTCCTGAAATAAGGATAGAGAATAATATATTGCTCAAAATTTCTTCTAAGCCTAGGAGCTGATAACTGTTACTATTTCTTATTTCTTCTTTCAACCAGAGTTATCTACACGCCTGGCCACACTGATGACCACATGGCTCTTCTTTTGGAAGAGGAAAATGCTCTCTTTTCTGGAGATTGCATCCTAGGGGAAGGAACAACTGTATTTGAAGACCTTTATGATTATATGAACTCCCTAAAAGAGTTACTGAAAATCAAAGCTAATGTTATATATCCAGGTGGGTAGTTTTTTAAATCTAGCAAACCATTTGTGTCGGATGATGAGGAAGATTGATTTTGGAGCGTGTGTGTGTGTGTGTGTGTGTGTGTGTGTGTTTTGTTTGTGTTTGATTTCTTTAAGAGATGCATATAAACTGCTTCTTTTAAAGTATACCCCAAAATCTTGTCTAGCCATGAAGTTAACAAGAAGATGAAGAGTTACATTGAAAATTTTTTACAAACATATAGGGTTTTTTTTTCTTTTTTTCTTTTTTTTTTTTTTAACTAACTACACAGCTATTCTATTCTCAAGACTATTAAACAAAGGGAATAATCTTACAGTAGAACAGAAAAATTTTTAAATACACAATTTTTAGTTTTGTTCATTTGATTTCTAGTGTGCACCACATTTGAGCTTTGTAAACTTCGATAGCATCTGACCTCTGAGCTTTAGTTTCTTCATTCATGCTGTTGAAACCTCAGTAGCTGCTATAGCAACTCTAAAATGGTATATTTATTTCCATTCTCCAGAAAAAAGAAACTTGCTGTTAATATCTCAGATACAACTACACTGCCCTGCAGTATGAATCTTCCCCTCCATCCTAAAAACTATGAAGGACGCGAGACCCAACGGGGGCACTTAGAAGGAGAAAGGGACTCGCTTACTTAATTTTGTAAATTCTTCTAATTTGCTTCTAACCAAACAGCCCTGGAAGAATCTGTAAATACAGTGCCTTCAGTGCTCTCACATTTTTTCATGAGTTCCTGCTGCTAAGGGGATAGGAAACAAACAGTGGAGCTGGGCATTTGAAGTCATATTATGACATGAAAGGAGTGGAAGCGGACAGCTGTTTGTAAAGAGAAGACAGTAGATGGTCAGTGCACTCACATTCAAGCTAAGCTAATGAGAGATGCCTAGCAAAGGTCGTTCAAGTGCTTGTTTAGTGAATCCATCAGAATGGCTTATTGGCACAGTGGAAGTTTATATGTAAATGATGTTCGGTAGCCATAGCTACCGTATAGTAAAGCTTGCTACCTGTGAGGTACTGTGCAGGGCAGTTTGCAGCTACCATCATGACTAAACCCCTGTGAAGCAGGTAGTGGTGTCCTCGTTGCACAGCTGAAGAAACAGGCTCGGAGAGATCCAGGAACTTAGGGCCACACAGCCAATAAGTGATGGTCTGTATTCTAACCAAAGCCATGCTTTTTCCATGACAGTAGGTTAGCATGCTTCAGGATATTTTGTTCTCAGATACTTGAAACATCCTTCTGCAGACTTACGTAATGTATTAATATGTACCATCTTAAAAAGCAAGTATATTTCAGTATAACTTGATCTGGATTGTCAAAATTTCTGAATTGCTAGCCTGTACGTAAGATTCTTCAGTATTAAAGTTCTGTAGGTGAATCTCTAGCACATTTTTGTACTTACATGAAGCTGCTTTTTACATTCCCCTTTTTAAATCTTATGTAAATAAGCTTAGCATTGTGGTTTAAAGCATAGATTGTGGAATCAGAATCCCAACTCCACCCCTTCCCTGCTTTGTGACCATGAGCAGGTAATTTACCTTCCCTGTGCCTCAGTTTCTTCTGTAAAAAAAGGGATAATAATAGGACCTACCTCATGGGATCATTGTCAGAATAATACGTATTAAACATTTACAGTGGTGCCTGCCACATATAAGCATTATATAAAGTTACCTATTGTTATTGTTATAGTTGCTATTTTTTAATATTTTTATTGTTAAATTTTTTAAATATACAATAACAGTTTATATAGATTTTATTTGATGTACCTCTGTAATATTTTTTACCATTGTAACTAATTTTGAAATCTCTTATACTGTATATCTTTCTAAATAATTCATATTTGTATATTTAGTATGCTTGCTTTTTCAATACATCATACAAATTATGTTTAAACAGTGAATTAAACTTCAGTTGTACTTAATATTCTTTATCTGGTTGAAGTAATTTTTATAATTATTTTAATTCAGGACATGGCCCAGTAATCTATAATGCTGAAGCTAAAATTCTGCAATACATTTCTCACAGAAATATCCGAGAACAGCAACTTCTGGCAATATTTCGTGAGAACTTTGAAAAATCATTTACAGTCACAGAGCTTGTAAAAATTGTGTACAAGGTAATTTTTCTTTATCTTATTTGTATGTAACTACAATTTTATTAGAATAATGTATTTAGTAGACTATCAATATGATAAACTTACCACATCCCAGAACAAAGTATGTCTATGTTAATTTTACAAAGAATGCTACTTCTGTAGATTTGAGACTATCGGTCTCGATTTTCTGGAACACAGTAGTTAAACAAACAAAAACTAGTCTTGAACAAAAATAGCTGTCCTGAGCCAGTCAGTAACCCTTATGTACTTTACTCCACAGGAGAGATGGTCATCAACAACCTGGTGATTACGTTTTGTAGTGATTTATATATTCCTCTAGCCATCTTGGTTATCTGATGTCCTAGCCTGCAGCAAGTGAGAAGGGGTGGTCTGCTAGAGACAAGTATTAGGATAATAGCAGTGAGAAGTAGTAGAGATGCCCAACAGTGGACAAAGTACGTATCAAAGGACCTGAGTAGAGTAGTTCAGTATACAGGGAAAGAGCCCCACACCTCAGTGACCTCTAAGCACATCACTGTCTAACAGCACTATGTGACAGTTGATTAGTTTAATTCAGTCTTTTCAGCAAAAGTTCATTAGATGGCTGCTGTGTAGGCAGTATAGCTTAGAGATTAAGAATGTAGGATTTGCCAAAATAACCTTTGAACTTGCATTTGAAGTTATTTCTGCAGGTCACCTTTCAGCCAAATAATAGATTGGCTTGTAAAATAAGCAGTATCACCCATGAGTAATGTACTCCCTTAAACAGTCAACTATATGAGATGGAACAGTCAACATTTACCCAGAAGCAAAGATGAGAAGGCAAAGAGGGGAAGGGAAGCTGGATCAGTGGAAACAGAACAAACAGAATGGAAATAATGAGAATGCTGACACATCGTAAAAATTGTAACCATGGCACGGGACAATTTGTATAAAAATTATTAAATGGAAACCTTATTTTCTGTGTAAACTTTCACCTACAACACAATAAAATATTATTTAAAAGAAAAAGAATATAGGATTTGCAGTAACACTGCTGGGTTTAGGAATCCCTGAGTGGTGCAAAACAGTTAAGTGATCAACTACTAACCAAAAGGTTGGTGATTAGAACCCACTCAGAGGTGCTTCCATTTATCATGACAAACGATGAAAAGATTGAAGTTGTCAAGGATTTCATTTTACTTGGGTCCACAATCAACATCCGTGGGAGCAGCAGTCAAGAAATCAAAAGACAACGTTGCATTGGGCAAATCTGCTGCAGAAGACCTCTTTAAAGTGTTGAAAAGCAAAGATACCACCTTGAAGACTAAGGTGAGCCTGACCCAAGCCATGGTATTTTAAGTCGCATCATACGCATGGGAAAGCTGGACAATGAATAAGGAAGACTGAAGAGTTGATGTCTTTGAATTGTGGTGTTGGCAAAGAATGTTGAATATGCCATGGACTGCCAAAAGAACGAACAGATCTGTCTTGGAAGAAGTACAACCAGAATGCTCCTTAGAAGCAAGGGTGGCAAGACTGCATCTTACATACTTTGGACAGGTTGTCAGGAAGGATCAGTTCCTGGAGAAGGAACATCATGCTTAGTAAAGTACAGGGTCAGCGAACAAAAGGAAGACCCTCAACAAGATGGTTTGACACAGTGGCTGTAACAATGGGCTCAAGCATAGCAACAATTGTGAGCATGGCACAGGACTGGGCAGTGTTTTGTTCTGTGGTACATAGGGTCGCTATGAGTCGGAACCGACTCAACAGCGCCTAGCAGCAACAGAAGTGCCTCGGAAATTAGGCCTGGCAATCCACTTCCAAACGGTTACAACATTGAAAACCCAATGGACCATTTCTTCTCTGCAGAAATGGAGTTGTCATGAGTCAGAATTGACTCAATGGCAGCTAACGACAGCAACACCTGGGTTGAAACCTTCCCACTCCCATCTACTATGTCATGTTACTTAACTTCTGTAAGCCACAGTTTCATTATCTATAGAATGCAGATGGTGACATTATTGATCTTTTAAGATTTTTGTAAGGACTAAGAGATAATTCCTGTTAAGTTCTTAATACAATGCCAGCCAAATAGTAAATGTCCAATAAATGCTTATTATCATTAATAATAATAATATTCCCACCACCGTCACCACTACTGCAACCTGTGCTAAACCAAACCAAACCCATTCCTGTCGAGTCAAGCTCCAACGCATAGTCACCCTATAGGACAGAGTAGAATTGCCCCATAGCGTTCCCAAGGGGCAGCTGGTGGATTCAAACTGCCAGCCTTTTGTTAAGCAGCCAAACGTTTAACCACTGTACCACCAGGGCTCCGGTACCTGTGCTAGGCTCTAGCAATACAAAAATAAATAAGATGAAGGTCCCCGTCTTTCTCTGTCTACAGATGAATAAGCAAATAATGTATTTACAGAGTTGTACAACCATCATCACAGTCAATTTTAGAACACTTTCATCACCCTATAAAGAAATTCACACCCTTTAGTAGGCACTTCCTGTTTCCCCTCAACTTCCTGCTCTCCCTCTCAACCCTAGGCAAGCACTAAGCTACTTTCTGTCTCTGGCTTTGCCTGTTCTGGACATGTCATATAAATAGGATCATATAATACATATTCTTGTGTGACTGGCTTCTTTCACTTAGCCTAAGTTTTTGAAATTCATCCATGTTGTAGCACATATTTTTATGGCCAAGTAAGATTTCATTGTTTGGGGATACCACATCTTATTTATCCATTCATCAGTTGATGAACATGTGGGCTATTCACTTTTGGGCTATTATGAGTAAACATTCCTGTACAGGTTTTTATATGGACATATGTTTTCATTTCTCTTGGGCATATACCTAGGACTAGAATTGCTGGGCCAGATGGTAACTCCATGTTTAACTTTTGAGGAACTGCCATACCGTTTTCGACAGCAACTACACTATTTTACAGTCTTAGCAGCAGTGTATGAGGATTCCAGTTTCTCAAGTTGTATTACATTGTAACTAATTTTAATAGCCACATATGGCTAATGAGTACTGTATTGGGCAGTGCAATTTGAGAATTATAATGCTTCTCTAGCCACTTAGCATATATCAGACTAACAATGAATGAGTTGTATATCCTAAGAGCAACACATTATTTCTTGAGAGTGATTCAGATACTAAGGAGAGTCTGTGATCAAATATTTAAGATAATAGTTAATTGCTGTTCTAATGACTACTAACTCACCTCTTGCAAACATCCTTGCTACTACAGGGTAATTCCAGGTTTTAATAAATCAACTTCTTGGTACCTGAGCACAGTTTTAAATGTACTAAATTACTGTATTTGAAAGTCTACTGCTGCTTGTTAATTTAGTTAGGAAAAGGGACTCTACTGTTCATAATACACATAAATGATTTAAGAAGCAAACTTTAATATTTTTCATAGGACCTTAGTTTAGTTACATGTTTCGTTTTTGTGAGATCAATTCCTCATACTTTTTCTTGTATGAATGCTTACTATGTTGAATACTACTTGAAAAACTTAAAGTTGAAAATTTCGTTGATATTTTATGTTAACCTAAATATTCATTATATATATAACACTTGGAGGTATTTTGTTTCAAACCTGCCTGAGTTTAAATGCTAGCTCTGCCACTTTGTAGCTGTCTAAGCTTGGACTTATGACCTCTCAGTGTCCATTTTAAATAAAGATAATAATCTGTCTCACAGCATTGTATGAGGATCAGTTAATTAATACACGAAAACCTCTCAGAAAAGTGCCTGGCACCTATTAAATAGTATAAAAATTTGCTATTATTTTCTTTTTATAACGCCTCAATTCAGCTTTCAAAATTATAATAACTTTGTAAATTATTCAACTGTGGAATCTATTAAAATCTGAATTTCAGGCAAGTGTATCATCAAGGAAAGAAAAACATTGTTTTCAAAATAAGTGTAGTTAGCAATATTCCCTTATTTTTTATGAAATCCATTTTACTTTAGATGAATAACCACAGTAATAAATCATTTGAAACAGTGACGTTTGCAAGGGTAAGCACAATGGCTTATGCAATAAAACAATAAATAATCATCTGAGATGGGAAATGTTGCAAGTGTTGGTGCTAAACTGGTTTAAATGCCAGGATCTTTTTGCAATATTGTGGAAAACAGTGAGCCATAAGGGAGGATCAAGCAGAGTTTGCTCTCTCCTTTCCTGAAAAGAGACACTCTTATATTTAAGCTTTAGTTTGATTTTAAACACAAAGCAAAAAGATAGTTGAAGGAGGAAAATCCCAGCACAGATAGCAAAGGAGTGGTGCCAAGAATAGGTGGAGGGATTGGCCTTGGAAAGAAAGAATTTTTTTCTCTGAATCGGTTTTTAGGCTTACGTTTCTGGATATGAGGGTAGGGGTAGAAAGATGCATGAGTTAATGCCTGGAAGTCTCTATTTTTTCTTATGAAGCATCAAGAAAGGAAATCTTTGTAGAGAGGAGGGCATGGGGTGGGGACAGGGCACTTAAGGACAAGATAAAGGTTTGGAATAACTGTTAATAAGAAATGGAAATATGACCAGATATTGCAAAAGGGTCAGCGAAGGTTGTAAGTGGAGAATAGCTGTTCACCAACTTCCTTTTAAAGCATTTAACATACTGAAAACAGACTTCTGTCAAAAATTTATTTCCCACTCGAGCCTTTCAACAAGTACACGACACACACAATGCCACTGGCCCTAACGTGCATTGTAGACTCCAAAGGGACTCTTCCCAGAGAGTGTTACTTCGTTTGCCATCATTCTGAATTCTCCTCCCTTCTCCCTCTCCTCTTCCTGTCCCGACGTGACTTTATGTCTGAGACCAGTAACCTTTTTTTTTATAGAAATATGATCCTTATTTAAAGAATAAAAGGAATCATTTGCTTTGTCATTCAGGTAACAGTTGTCGAATTCTACATTACTGTGTCAGCCAAAGCAAACGTAGAAATTGTGAGTCATGAAATTGAAATGTATATTCTTTTATAAAGATGTGCAAAAATACTGTCATGTAACCTAATAGACCATAGGGCCAACTGCCTGTAACATCAAAAATATCCGAGAATAATCTTTGCATTCGTTTGTTTATAAACTATTAATAGTTTCCTCCTATGTGCCATTATACCAAGTTGTGGGTATTCAGTAGCGGACAAAGCATGTATTGTATATACATATACATTTGGAGCTTATGGTCTGTCTGACCTGTAGGAATACAGTGACCTAAAACAAGATCTGCACCAGGTGAAATCGTTTGGTTATTACTATATAAAAATATTCTTAAGTTTTTCTTCTGTTGTAGCATCTTGTTTTTCTTTAAAGGCCTCAGAAGGATTAACTTTTTTTAAAGTAATTTTTTCTTTCACCTTCATTTTTCTTTTAGGGTATTCCTGAGAATTTGCATAACATGGCTAAAAATAATGTCTCACTTCATTTGAAAAAATTAGAAAAAGAAGGAAAAATATGTGAGTATACTTAGAAATTTTAATTCTGTTATTGTCATCATCTAAAATATTTTTCTTTTTAGGAAAAATAATACCCATCAGTGTTTTCCCCTGAATGTCACTGTAAACAGGAGAGACAGACACTAGAAAGAATTCTTAGCGCAAAGCCAGTTGACCACAAATTGGAACCAAAAGCTCCTATAGGAATTAGAATCCCGCTTAGGGGCTCCAGTCCTCACCCACCAGAATAACAATCCAATGCATGTAGCAAGAAGGTAGCTTCTCTTCTTCCAGACTACAAGACCATGAAGAATTTTACATGTAGAAGATTTGGGAACAACCAGAGTCTGTAAGCCAGTAGTAAAGGTAGTAAATTCAAAAAAAGTAAAGCAGTACTGCTGTAATTATTTAGTAGTAGTTGATTGATTTGTCAAATGAATAATCTTTATAGGTGTTTAATCCTTAAAATCAAGTGGATAAAAACATGAATTGTATGTAGAAGCTTTACCAATGTCTTTGCATTGTACAAATAATACAAAAAAATCAACTTTATGTTGAACAACAAAATTATTTTAGGAATGAACACTTTTTCTAGCCACAAGATAATTTAAAATCCAATGTATTTACTTATTTGTACCAAATTTTTACTCTGTGATTTTTTTCTTTCTACAGTTAGCAACAAGGATCCTGACAAGAAATGGAAAGCTCATCTTTAGTTTCAGACTAATGAAAACTTTGTTTTGGGTTTTTTTAAGAGTAGGTTTCTTAGTTTTAATTTTTTTTTTTTTACAGAGAATAGTGTTTTTCCTTAAATACGGATTATTTACAGAGAATATAGAGTGTAGATCATAACCCTAGATGTTCTTTAAAATAATATCATACTTATTCCAAATATGTAAATTACATTATACATCTATAATAGAGATTATTTATATAAGCTTGATCTTAAAAGATTTTACCAAAAATTGAGAATCTAACAGTTTTATCAATTTTCAATAGATTAACTAAAATGGTTACTTTAAAAATAACAAATTTGTATACATTAAACCGTGTATTATTCTTGGAGATTGTCTGTTACCAGTGGTCAGTATTGCTGCTTCAGTTAACAGCACAGATTGCTATGTCACCTTTCCTTTCCCTCGACGTTTGTCTGTATCTATAGATACCAGCTTTATTTTCATGTTTCTACCAGTTATACGCTTGATTAGGTATTAGTTCTGTAACTGTATAATATAGTGTATTTTCTTATAACGATATGCCAGCAGTGATACGACTCAACGTTCGGTAATTGAAAAATATTGAATTTCCAATAAAAGACATTATGATGAACAATTATTTTTGTAATCCATCAGTACACCAACTTATTTCCCAAGTTTAGGTTTTAGTATATAATTGTAAAACATAGCATTTTTAATCTGAGTAATGTTCTTAAATAGTGGTTAGGTTCTTAGCGTAGCCCCCCAAGGCTTATTTAATCCATACAGTTGCCAAACTGTAATACTAGAACTAGCTCAGAATCATGAGAGTGCTCTTCCGTAAAAGTAAGACTTAAAAATTTTAAAAACTTTCTTTGATATCCTCACCTCTTTTTGCCCTTTTTCCCAAGATCCCTAGCAATTTCATACCATTTTAAACTCTTACCCTATGCCCTGCAGACTTGTTGTTGTCCCTAAACTGTTCTGTATTATGAAATAACTGTAAATATCCTCCCCAATACCACCACCAAAAAAAGAGAAAAGTCAGCCTATTCCCTCAATAAAGTACATATCAGCAAAATTTAAACAAGAAATCTTAATATATAAATGCTTCTCTTCCAGTCTTTCCTATCTCTGTGAATGAGAACACCATTCAGTTGGTCAAACCAGAAAACCAAGTAGTCATTTTTTATATACCTGCTTCATCTCATATTCAGTTCTTCACCAAGTGCTTACTGCCTGTTCCACGTCCAGAATTTATCATTACTTCTAACTCCACGAGTACTCCTTAGTCCAGGCTGTCGTCTTCTCTTGCCTGGGCCTCTACAGTAACCTTTAGTTTCCCTGCTCCATATCTTGGAGGGAGTTAAGAGGATAGGGATGAGAAGGGCATTCTGAGCTGAGGAAATCTCTCATGCACAAACCCATGGAGTCATTGACTTTTTAAAGTACCATGGCAGACTTCAGCTACTGCAGGCTGCAAGTGGATTTATTAGAAGATGGGTGATAATGGAAGGCTATTGAAAGAGTCTAGGCAAGTGAGAGCTTTAATAAAAGCAGTGACATTAAGCGTATGTGTGTGCTAGGGCTGTGACAGGTACTGGGGAGGCAAAGGTGAACAAAAGCATCTCAGAAGAAGCTCGTAGTCTAGTTGTGGAGACACAATTAATTACATTATACAGTACCACTAAGTCCATTTGGAGTAAAGGAAGCACATCTCACCTGGCTGAGATCTAGAAAGCTGCCGAGAAGAGCCTGAGCACAGTCTTCAGCTAAGTGGCAGCCAGGAGAAGTTAGGAGTATTTGTCTGGGAGATGAGAGGGGTGGTTCTACTGGAGGAGATAACGTATGCACGTAAACAGAGGTATAGTAGCGCATCACGTGGCAGGGGAACTACAAGAAATGTTACATGACCACAGTATGGTGTTAGTGGGTTGAGCTCATAGGGAGAGTCTCAGTGGAACACAGATACCTCATAGGAAAAAATGAATAGTTATTCAGCCATGCTTCACACAGGCTGGAGTATCTATAACTCAGGAATTGGACAGCAGATCATGTTCCAAGGCAGTTCTAGTGTTATTTTGTTGCCTCCTGAACAGCAAGAGTTTGTCCCCCACCATTATGGTGATTTCATTCCTCTTTTTGTTTGTCATTCCAGCCCGTTACTTCACCCAGGGATTTGATTATTCATAGCTTCTGCTTACTCATTTTCTGTCTACTCAGGAGTTTCTGTAGTCTCGTCATCACCTCTGCCCTCTCTGTATATCTTCAGCTTCTGTTTTGCAACCAACTGAGTAGCTGTCTTTGTGTCTCAGATTCAGAACTCACAGAAGAGGGCCTGATTGGTGTAATTAATTGTCACTGTCTGTTTGAGTACACTTTCCTGCCATATTGTCTTGTATACTGACCAGCCTTTCTGGTGACTGCTCTGGACCAATCATCAAGGACTAGAAGGATCATGGGGAACTGTATCAGAAGGGAACGCCATTCAACAGAGGCACTGGGCAGGGTAAGCACTCTGAGATCTGGCCTTTTCAGTACAATGGGCGAGAAATGGGGTACAGGGAGAAGGAGGCTCAAAGGTATTAAGAAGAAGGAGTAACAGATAAGAGAAATAAAAAGAGTAACAGGACTTAGACACCTATTAGATCTTAAGGGATAGAGATCAGGTAAAGAAGTCTAGAAGAGCTATAGATTTCTAGCTTGGGCAGCTGAGTAGATGTTGACTTGATAACCAGTATGAGGGAATACAAGAAATGGGACAGGTAGATGGGGAAGGGAGGAAAGATACATCGTACTCTGCATATGAGTTTGAGGTACTAGGGGACATCCAGGGAGAGCTGTCTAGTAGGCACTTAGATATATGGGACTGGAGCAGAATAGATAGGACGTATTTTGTTGCAGATGACAAAAACTAGCTTAAGTGAAAGAGGAAATTAGTTGGTGCACATACCTAACCTGAGAAGGATGAGGGTAGAGGTGGGCTTGTGAGCAAGAACAGGGCTTTGGATCCCGTCAGTATAACCCTCAACCTCTTACCTCTATTTCTTTCTGAGGGTCAGAGATCCCCACAGTAGATTGGCTTCTTCCAGTTCCAGTTTGAAAAATCCTAGAGGAAGGACTCTGAGTGGTTTGCACTGGCACATTACACAATCCTTAGAACAGTCTTGTAGCAAGGAAACAGGAGGAACTGTATTCGGCCCAGCTTTGGTCACCTGCCTGCCTACCCCTATGGCTGGAGTAGGTGAGGTCTGCTCCCAAAAGAGAAGTGTTACAGGAAGATTCTGGAACGATACTGTTCGCTTACTGAATAGGTTTCCCCTCCTCCCTCCGCTCAGTGTCTGTAAAATGTATAATAAATAAATCAGAGCCCTCTGTGGTAACTCACAGAATGTTTGAGCCTACTCTGCAACCTTAACCTATTCTGTGGGTTTCTGTAAAAAAATTTTTGAGTATTTTTCAGTTATTTGGGAGTATTTACATATCTCCTGATTGTCACTTCAAGAAAAAGTTAGTGAAGTTAGCTAGTAACAGGGAAACGGAAATGAGAGAAGACTTAAGTGCAGGTGTTTTAATTCTGCCAGCACTGTCAATCAGTGTTGCTTCCCTCGCAGATTTGTCTGTGCTTTCCAGAGCAACACATCCCGAGTTTGGACGTGATGGGGGGCTTGGGGGCTTGGAATCGCTTAGAAGGGAACTTGAATCAAAATGACACTGGCTTTTTCAGTATAACAATGAGTATTAGAACATAATGCCTTAAAAAATCCAAGGAGGAAATTATTTACATCTTCGAGATTTATATCCAACAAGATTTACATCCAACGAGATGAATTGACACAGTAGCTGCAACAAGGGCCTCAAACATAACTGTGGTGAGGATGGCGCAGGACCAGGCAGTGTTTCATTCTGTTGTACATAGGGTCACTATGAGTCGGAACCTACTCAATGGCACCTCACAACAACAACAGATTTTTAACCAACTAAACGATCCATTGTGTGAATATAAGGACTCCAAAAGTGTACCCTTCTTAGGGAATTGCTGGATGCTGTGTTCCAGAAAAACAGGAAAGAGGAAAGCACAAGATCAAAATAGTACATTTAAAACCAAAATGTCAGAAGAAAGTTTTAGAACAAATATGTGCCCAAAGCTGCCTCCATATTGGAGCAGAAGGAAGGGGGGATTTTAGGGAGCAAAATGGAATTAATACATTATCTGATAAATTTGAGCATTTGGGGGGGAAAACCATTAGTAGTCATACAACAACTTTAGTTAAGCAATTGAAACAACTAAAAATCAGTTCATAGAAAACTATGCTGATGAAAAAAAATGAAGCAATCATTGATTCCAATAAACAGAAGTTGTGCAAGGAAGGAAATGAAATACTATCTGCCTCTGCATTTTTACATAGGCAATAATGTAAATACTGACTAAAAATTATGTTTGAAATATAATAGGATAATAAGTGAAAGGAAGTGGAAAGTTAGGAATGCTAAACCTTTCCTAACATGATAACAGAAAGTCAAGAAAGACTAAAATTGATAACTCATGAAGTAGAAGTATAAACGTTTTATTGGTGAATACCTGTGATGGTTAATGTTAGTATCAAGTTGGCTAGGCCATGATTCCCAGTATTGTATAATTGTCTTCTATCTTTGTGATCTGATGTAGTTGTCTTCCATTTTGTGGTATTGTGTAACGATGTGTTATAAATCCTAAACCTCTATGTGTTAATGAGGCAGGATTAGTGTGGGGTGCATCTTGAGTCACGCCCTTACTAAAGCCTTGAGGGTGTGGCCTGCATCCAGTATATATGAATGGTCTGGCAGAGCACTCTCTCTCACTCTGGATCCTGCATTTGGCTTGTCATCATCTGACTTCCAGTTCTTGGAACTTGAGCCAGCAGCCTGCCATTTGACCTGCCATTTTGGGGATTTGCCAGCTTCTGGAGCCCTTGGAGTCAGCAGCCTGCCATCTGACCTGATTTGCCAGCTTCCACAGCTCCGTGGGCCAGCAGCCTGTCGTCTGATCTGCCGATTTGAGTTCATCAGCCACTGCAATCACGTGAGTCAGGAGAAGCCTCCAGCCTGACGCCTGACCCATGGATTTGGGACTTGCCAGCCTCCACAACCATGTGAGCCATTTCCTTAAGATAAATCTCTTTATATATATATAATATATATATAAAATATATAAATATATATATATAAAAGTACATATATATAAATATATTTACACACATATATATACATACATGTGCGCGCACACACACACACACACACACACACACACACACAATGTATATACATGCTTCATTGGTTTTGCTTCTTTAGAGAACCCAGTCTAAGACAATACCAGAAAAAAAGTACTTTTTAGAGTTAAAAGTAGTTGCCTTTAGGAAATGGGAGAAAGAGAACAGGGAGAATGGGGAAATGTTTTTCCTGTTTATACTGTTTGATATTTTAATTAGAGACATCTAGTGTTTTATTTATTATTTTAAATTAGATACACTGGTATCTTTTTTTATTAATTTAATGTCAGAATATTGTATTATGCAATGGGCAGATTCTAACTCTTTAGTCCACTGGAGCAAGCACTTTTATCCTAGAATTTTCTCCGACAAAGATTACCAGGTACTGGAAACAGAGTACATGTGTAAGAAACAGCTTAAGGGAGTTGCCTGACCTCCTCCAACCCCACAAGCGGGAAGGAGAACCAAGAGCAGCAGCACAAGGCTGACTCCCGTGAGGTGGAGGCCAGACAAGCCTCCTCTCTCCGTGTCATCTTTACTAATTCTGACACCAACTGTCCCTCACACAGCACTCTCTACTTCTCTGCTGGGTTCAGTAATTCATTGAAGTGGCCACACAGAACTCATAGACCGTACTCACGATCATGGGGCTTATTATAAGGGAAGTAACAGTTACAATTCAGGCTCAGGAACAGTCAGGATACAGTTCTTTCATCAAGATAGTCTCTTCCCAACCGTGCTCGCAGGCACACCTCTCCCTGGCCACAGGCCTCTCCCCAAAGGCGCTCAGCTTTCTCTCTCTGTGGGCCAGGAAGTACACTGCGCTGTCTTCTGCTGTTGGGTCTCTCCTGCCACCACTTCTCACCTTTTTCAGGGTTACAGCTTGCTCTCTCTCGCTCTGTCTCTCTCTCTCTCTCTGTCTGTCTGTCTCTCTCTCTCTCTCTCAGTCTCCTGGTTCCAGGAGCTTCTCAGTGCAGAGATCCCGGGTCCAAAGGATGTGCTCCACTCCTGGCTATTCTTCCTTGGTGGTGGTAGGATCTGGAATTGGCTCTCTTTTAAGGCAAAACTGACAAATCCCCTTGGTGGGCCACAATTGCCTTATCACACAGCCCCGCCTGATCACCTGGCTGGGAGTTACAAGACCATGGCTAGAAAGACCACACACAAAAGTAATCAATTGCACTGCAACATGTTTATTTAATGTTCACTTAAACCTAAAGATAAGATTCTTTAAGTTACATATTGTCAAGTGTAAATTTTATGCACTAAGAGAAAATCCTCCACGTAGTATCTATACTGAAGAACCTAGAGAATTAATGTAAAGTGGAGTCGAAGACTTCTATGACCTTTGAAGTTTTACTGAAGTATAAAAATCATCTGAAAAGAACTAGATCCAGGTTTATCTGAACCAGCAACGAGTGCTATTTTTAGCTCTCTGATAGAGTCCAACTTTGTTTTTCGGTTGCAGTATAGTAGAGCATTAAAGAAAGATCTATGTTAATTCCAGTTTGTCTTACTGAGACCTGAACTGAATTTAAGATTCAGTAAGTAGCCAGTGTAAAGAGAAAAGGACTATGCCTCTATCTCTCAGTCTCCAGCTAGTATCACTTTTTCTCTATGGTTAGTCAAGTTATTCACTACAGAATCTGGAGGAAAAGTAACACTTGTATGGCAGATTCCCTTTCTTATATTTACTAGTGTTTTTAAGAAGTTTGAGATGATGTCTTAGTTATCTAGTGCTGCTATAAAAGAAATACCACAAATGGATGGCTTTAACAAACAGAAGTTTCTTCTCTCAAAGTTTAGTAGGCTAGAAGTCCAAAGTCAGGGTGCCAGCTCCAGGGGAAGGCTTTCTCGCTCTGTCGGCTCTGGGAGAAGGTCCCTGTCATCAATCTTCCCCTGGGTCTAGGAGCTTCTCAGCACAGGGACCCTGGCTCCAAAGGATGCGCCCCACTCCTGGATCTTCTTTCTTGGTACTAGGAGGTCTCCCTGTCTCTGCTCGCTGCTCTCTTTTATATCTCAAAAGAGATTGACTCAGGATACAACCTAATATTGTAAATTGAGTCCTACCTCATTAACATAACTGCCTCATTAACATCATAGAGGTAGGATTTACAACACACAGGAAAATCACATTAGATGACAAAGTGGTGGACAATCACACAATACTGGGAATCATGGCCTAACCAAGTTGACACACATTTTGGGGGACACAATTCAACCCTATAACAGATGGCTAATGACCAAGAAGAAGCATGCTCTGAAGAAAATATATTTTCTTGATGTATTTGAAAATAAAGACCAATCTGCAAAAACACATTTTGCTATAAATCAAATATTTCCAAATATAAATTAGGTTACAGCAACTCAGGATGCATGTATTTGATCTTATTTTGTGCGTGATTGTATCATTCCTGTGATTTTCTTGTTATTTAAATGTTTTAAGTAAAGTGCATCTCTACCAAACGGCTGGTCTTAAATTACTTTTTCCCATTTTTTTTTTTTCTTTTTCATGATTCTATAAGGTTTTGATCCATTGAGTATCTGTTTCTCTTTTTTTAGGGTCAGACTATCATCTCTAGTGGCATATGAAGAAACAGTGCTTTTAGTATTTTAGCAAGGCTTGAAGAAAAACTTTCACAAGAAGCTTTGCACCACAGAAGTTTCCCAGCCTTGGTTGTGGAGGTAGATTAATCATACTTAGTTCCTTCCACTGTTGGAGGCCTAGTGGTTCAGTGGTTAAGAGCTCAGCTACTAACCAAAAGGTCAGCAGTTTGAATCCACCAGCTGCTCCTTGGAAACCCTATGAGGCAGTTCTGCTGTGTCCTCTAGTGTCACTAAGAGTTGGAATTGACTTGATGGCACCAGGTTTTTTGGTTTTTTTCCCTCTGCTGCAGTTTTCAGAAATGGCGAAAATGTCTATAACAAATTATGTATCTCAAGATTCCATATCTAAACCTGAAACTCTAAGGAATATTATTAACCATCTACTCTCTTGGTGCAGAAATGTGGTCCTGGACCACTTGCATCACTATCTCCTGAGAGGCTTGTTGTTAGTTGCTGTCGAGTCAGTTCCAACTCCTGGCAACCCCATGTGTGCAGAGTAGAACTGCACCATGGGGTTTTCAAGGCTGTGACCTTTCTGAAGCAGATCTCCTGGCCTGTCTTCCGAGGCACCTCTGGGTGGGCTCAAACCACCCAACCTTTCAGCTAGTAGTCAAGCAGTTAACCATTTGCACCACCCAGGGATTACAAATGCAGTTATCTGGGTCCTACCCAGATTTACTGAATCAGAATTCCTAAAGACGGCCAAGGAATACTTTTTCAGTCAACCCGGATGATTTCCTACATCAGCAGAATTACAGTATTTTTTACCTTTTCTTTTTTAAATTGTGATAAAATATACATAAAATATTTACCAATTTAACAATTTTTGCATGGATAACAGTGCCGTGGATTCTATTCA